CCCGCGCCGAGAGGGGCAGCGACGGCGGGTCCCCGAGGCGGGCGGCTGCCGGTCGTTGCCGGTACCGGGGTAAGGAAGGGAGGGCCCGGCCCGGCCCGCGGCGCCCTCAGCCCGCTCTCTCCTCCTCCCCGCAGCTCCCGGCGGCTGGTGACCCTGGCGCGGGGCCTGGCCCCCGCCTTCCTGCGCTTCGCGGGCAAGAGGACGGACTTTCTGCAGTTCCACAACGTGAAGAACCCGGCCAAGAGCCGCGGCGGGCCCGGCCCCGACTACTACCTCAAGAACTACGAGGACGGTGAGCTCCCGGGGCCGGGGCGGGGGGCTGCGGGCTGCGGGAGCCGGGCGGTCCCGCTCCGCCTGCCCCGTGCCCAGGCGGGGCCGTACCGCGTCCGGGAGGTGCGGGCACCCGGTAGGGAACCCTCCCCCGTACCCTCTCCTTCCCGAGCCGGGGAGCGGGGGAGCTCGGCGGAGCCCGCCCGCCCGTTGCTGGCGGATCCGGCGGATGCCGACCCCCGGGAACAAAAGGCCGGCACCGGGGAGCGGGGCTTTTCCTATCCCCCCCCTCGCCCCGCCGTGTCCTCCGGCTCCCTTCGCTCCCAAGGCTGGGCTGGGAGCGGGGGCTGTACCCCGACTGCCTGCGGGGACCGGGCACCGCGGCCGCGGGACGCCTGAACACGCACCTCCCCGCGCTTCTCCCGCGAAGCCCCTGCCTTTCCCCGGGGAGGGACCCCCGCGTCGTTCCGCGTTTCTCCGCCCGGGGCTCCCCGGGTCCCGCCGGTCGGTGCCCTCCGGAGCGCTCTGCCATCCCGGGGCTTCCCCAAAGTCACCGCCGGCCCCGCGGCTTTCCGCCGCTCCGCGCCCTCCCCCGCCGCAAGAAAGGTTTCCACCTTTTTCGCCCTTAATTCACACAAAGAAACTTCGTAGAAAAGTCAGGGCCGAGCCCCCCTCCCACGGCATTTATTTTAAGAAGCAGAATACCATGTCGGCATGCAAGAATTTATTGATTTTTCTCTCTTGCTTATTTAAAAAAAAAAAAACAAAAAACAACAAACCAACAATTTTCTTTTTTTTTTCCTCACTCAATGATTTACAAAAATTAGCTAAAATCTTGCTTATTTAAAAAATCAAAACAACAAGCCAACAATTTTTTTTTTTTCTCACTCAATGATTTACAAAAATTAGCTAAAGATATTTCCATAAGTAATTTTGAAGGCCAGTTAATGCCAGACGTATCCCAGTGGGCAGGTCTGTGGGGCAGAGGCAGTTTTCCGGAGCTCTAGTCAGCAGCGCAAGTGCTGAATGGAAAAAGCAGACGCATTTGCCAGTTTCTGAGGGCTCTCTCCCCCGCTGGTCCCCCCCCTCACCCTCCCGTAACATCCGATCTCCCCGCGGTGAATGTCCCTCTATTCCCACACGCAGGTGGGGAAGTTTTTGCGCTCCGAGCTTTGCTCAGTCTCCCAGCCCAAGCCACCCCGATGCTAGTCCTATTTTTTCTTCTCTTCGCAACAAATCTCGGGCAAAGCTCTGTGTACCGAGATGTACTTCGGGAGAAAATAGTGACCAAACCCTCCCACAGCCACCTTGAGCAGAAGAAATTGAGTGTAGTGCATAAAATTGTAGATGGGACTCACACAAAGCATTTGTAGGAATAAATTTTCCCACTTCCAATATTTCAACAGCTTGCAGGAGAGAACTTGCACTTATTAAATGTCTTCGCAACAGCTTTCATGTGAGGGAAGGACTGAAAGCTCTCGGTTTTTTAAGTTTTCCTCGTGGCAATAAAGTTGAAATGTAGCAGCCCTTCAAAATGAAGCTTCTCATAGAAGTTGTAACCACAGGTCTTAACTTTTCATCACTTAAATATGGAACAGAACCATTACAAATGCGGGTGAGGGAAGGAGGAGACACATGTGGTGTGTATCAAGCACCGGTGTAAATCAGAAAGGTGTGGTAAAAGGGATTTCCTGCCTGGAAGCAAAGCTTTCGTATTTGTTCTTCAGACCTGCGTGCAAACCCCAGGGCTGGCGGTGCTGGTAGCTCACATCTTTCTGTGCTGAGGCTGCGCCGAGCGCTTCACTAGAGGGATCCAGTTCCCCAAAATGAAATCCTGATGCCACTGCAGCTCTCTGCCCCTCTCTGTACTGGATCCCAGCAGCCATCTTCCACTTTCCGAGCACTGGTCTGGTTTTTTGCTGCCTCCTCTGCGGCTCGGCCGGGACCTGCTTGGGACCAGGAGGTGCACAAATGTGCAAGCAGATGTACTTGCTGCAAAAACCTTGCAGCCTGAGCAGACAGCACAGGAAAAAGAAAGATGGCAATCAGCACCTGAGCGTGGGGGGAAGCCGGCAAGCATCCCTCTAGGTACCCTTCCTCTTATCTGAGCTCTCTGGGGTGTTTGGGGTTGTTTTCCATGTCTGTGGGCTTTTCTATGTTCAGCATCTATTTTCTGAAATTTCTTGTCTAAGCTGTAGTGTCCCAGGAGTGGGGAAGAAGCTGGGGGGCTCGATTAGTTAAAGAAGTCAGAAAATAATTAAAAGAGAAGTCAGTGAATTTCTAGGTCTTATGCATCGTCTTAGTGATTTTTAGTGATGTGACAAGTCATAGCTCGGTTGTCTTCTGCTTTGAGTGTTTGTCTTTTTACCTGTTGGCCCTGTGGGTCCGCACAGAGTCACCCCAGGGCTGTGACCCCGGGGCCTGGGCTCCCTTTGCAGCCTCCACGGCCGTTCCCGTGCCGTGTGTCCTCGTGGGGCCTGCACATCAGGGGGAGGGAAGGACACAGCTTATTTTCCTCTCGTGTACAAGACACGCGTGCAAGGCTGCTCAGAGAGCTGCCGTGAGTAGCTGTGAGTGGTGTTCAGGTCGCAGGGGGCTGTGCTCCTCTGTGTGCCCCCCCGATGTGACCGTCTCAGGCTCTCAGACAGGCAGCAGCAGCAAGAGGATTGCTCTGCAGCATCTGTCGTGGATCCTCTGCCCTGTGGCCGTGCCTGCTGGAGTACGAATGAATCTCTGTGCAGGGATCTTTGCTCTGTAAATCTCCCTCTGCCACCCTGTTGTCCACCAGCCCAGGTATCCCTCCCTGCTGCCTTTGACGGTCTTTTCTCCCTCTGTAAAGCTCCACCTTCCTGACCGTTGAACCTCCTCAAGGATTTGCCCTACTCTTTCCCCTCTGTTTAAAATTATATTTATTTCCCTTTCAAGCTGTTACAGCTACGCACACCTCCACCTTCTGTAAACTGCCTTTACCTAGGCCTGCCTTTGGGTTCACCAGCTCATCTTTTTCCTCTCCTTTCCTCCACAGGGAGCGTGGGAGCTCTCTGAGGGTTATAGTAGTTGCTTTTCACTTCTATCTAAAATGTACTTAATTTTCCTGAAATAAGGTGTTTCCTTTCAGCTTCAGGGTCATTTTTTTCTTGTAAAAATTCTTCCTGGAAGCACAGACCTGGAAATATTGTGTAATTCCAGGTGTGTACGGCGTCTTCCCTTTGTAACTCCAGCCTCACCCCAGTCCAGACCAGTCATGTTTAGGCAGTAAAGGTAACGAAGTGGTGAGTGATCTGCGATGCCCACGAAGAGGGTGCACGTGGCAACTTGTTTCAGCCCTGCATAGAAAGCTGGCACGGCAATATCATCACCTGGTGGCACATGTGCCCTTACCTGACAGAGCAACTTAGGAAAGCAATTGCCCGTGATGAATAGTTTGGGTGAACCGTGGGGCGTGCGGTCCCTGTCGATGGCAGCAGGGCTGTATGTACCCCCTGAACCTCGCTGATCGTTAGAAGGTCATCAAACTAATCTGTTATATTTATACCCCCATCTATCATGGACACCAGGACGCCATCCTGAGCAGCCCCTGCATGATCAGTCCTGGAGGCCACCCTTTTTGGACATGACGTTGGCCAGCCTGAAGTCTGTTAGAAACAGAAAACCAGTTCAACGTATGGGAAGCTCTGTGGGACGGGGAGGTTCTCTGGCTGTGCCAGAGAGTTTTCGACATTTGGTGATCAAGAGGTGTAACATTTTTAGCCTGAGAGACTTTTCTCTCCCTTAAATTGTGTTTCTCTGTATGTGCCTTGCTGAGTTTGGTTTTCTTCACCAGCTGTGCTGGGAGCTGTGCTTTTTGACCTGGAGATGTGTTTCTCTCCTGCCATAGGCATGTGTCTGATCCCTGGGCAGGTACTAGGATGTAGGGGCTCATCCTCAGTCTATGTAGAAACCTGCTTCTCCTTTTGCTGTTGGATTATCTACCAAGTGATCTGTTTGGCCTCTCCTTTGAACTGCCTTGCACGTGGCAAGGACCAGTTGGGTCTGAGGAATAGGACAATAAGAAACATTGGTCTCCAGGAAAACAGGCTCGAGCAGCTCCTTTTTTGGAGCAAACACACAGGGCTTCCTGTTTGCTCAGGCTGCAGTGGCTGGTACAAAACCTCTTTTGAAGCTGGGTTTGCTAAAATCTGACTCACGTGCTTCCCTGGAGCTTGGTGTTGGGGTGATACACATGGTGTTGGTTCAGAAAGGCTCTCCCAGTGCCTGAACCTAGAGCCCATTTTGGGAGCTCCCTGCTGGTGCTACAGCATGAGCTTGGTGGGTTCATGTGGAACATCCTCAACTGCCTCTCACCTCAGAGCCACACACTGGCTTTGGACAACCTCTGGTGACATTACTTAGCGTTCCTCCCTGTGCATATGGGCTGTGAAGGAAAACTCAAGGGGAAAAGAGAAGTTACTCATAGCTGGAGTTCTTCAAGATGTGTTGGCCCAAGCGCGTGGCTTCTCCATCCTGTCCCTCAGGCTTTGTGTAGCCTCTTGGGAGTGTGTGGCTGAGAAGAGACCAAAGGACATTTACTGTGCACAGCCAATATGGCCTTGTGTGGGTCACAGGAAGGCGAGGAGAAGGGGGGCACACGCAGGCTGTAGGTACTGCGTCAGAGGAGTTTCTGAGCTGAAGTGCATATGGACAACACATTTCAAAAGTACTCTCTTAATTGCTGGTAAGTTACTTCCTTCTATTTTATCTCCTTTTTTGGAGACGATATTGGGTATCTGGAAAAATGGCCAATTACCACAAAAAAGCTGGGAAAAGACATGTTTCTTATGTCTTCCATACTCGTCAGGAGATTGTGCCATACAGTGTGGGAAACCTTACGTTACGCTGTGTAGCCCGGGCGTAGGTTTTCTGAGTGTCCTTCCAGTCTGGGATCCATTCCTTTGGGTGCTTCAGGTACCTGGCTCTGCACCTGGACCCTGAGATTTGTGCAGCAGTGGGAACCTCATTTCCCCCTTGCCTAGTCTGTGTCAC